CAGGTCAGGGTCCCCGTGCCCACCGACCTGGGGCCTGCAGGCGCCCTCAAAGAGCGCGGACCCGGCGGGGTGCGTGGGAGAACAGTTCGTGCCTCCCCCTAACGTTCTGGAGTTAGCAAACCCAGGCCACGCAGTTCAATCTGAATGTCGGAGAAATAACGAGTTACGTTTTACGCTAGATCTCAAATAGTGCATCGGACAGCGCTGCGCTAACAGGTCGGGCTGTTCTGCTTGAAGAAGCCGGGATCTATCCGGCACCCCCTGCCCGCGGTCGAAGACCGGCGTCCCGAGCCCGGCGGACCTGCACCGGGAGGGTCGGGGTGGGTCAACCGCCCGGCCCGGGGGCTTCGCGCTCGCTCACCTTCAGCACCAGGACCTCGAGCATCTTCCCCGCGTCTCGCAGCCGGCCCGCGGGCTCGCCCCGGGACGACAGGTACCGTCGCAGCCGCGCCCCTTTCCGGCCTCCCGTCGCTAGTCACTGGGGGTAAACTTTAGGGTCGAAAGTTGAGTCTTGTAGTACCCGCCTCCGCCCTCCGTGGGGGCCGCGCCTCCTCCCCACTTTGCCGCCACGGGCTTCGCGCGCCCAGCCCGGCCCCCCAGGTCCCCAGCCCGCGACGCACCACAGGCGACGCGCTCGGTCCTCCAACCCAGACGCCGCCGCCGGCGCGCTTGGGGCTCCGGCACCGCACCCCTGCCGCCCGACGCCCGCCGTCTCAGGCCTCGAGCCTTCCAGAAACGCGTGGTGCGCCAACGGCGAGCACAACGGTCGGCGCCCGGCGCACTGCGCCCCTACGCAGGGGGAGGAGCTGCGCCGCAAAAGCGCGGAGGCCTCAGGGGTCAGGCATCACGTGGTCCAAGGACGCTGGGGGTTCCGGTTGTCCTGGAGCTCCGAGGGCCCAGGGACGCCCACGCGCACCGTCTTACCCATCCCGAGGGGCACAGTTCCTGATTGAGGGCCATTAAGCCCTTCCCTCCGACTCCTTCTTAACCATTCTTCACCTCCCGTCCTTGGGATGAGGGAGAGTCACCAGTAGCCACTGGTGCCTGGTGCTTCCGAGCCTCCAGGCAGCATCCCACCACCCCCAATCCTTCTTCTTTCTGGGAAGGTCCTCGGTCCTGATTTTCGTCCCACCTGGCCCTTAACCAGCAGGGTACCCCAAGTCTTGGTCAGAGCATTCTTGTCACCATCAGAGGTTACAAACTACAGCCTCATGAGCCGGGTTCTTCCCCAGCCATGTATTTTGTTATTGTTAAGGCACCACAGAGTTCTCCTGACTTTGAACACGTGGAAGCCTGTTTTATCACCTGAAAATTGGGACTCAGAGAGTGGGTCTCAGAATTAGGTGAGGTCATACTATATGAAACAAAGGACACCCAAGGGGCACTCAGGGAGGGTTAGCTTTTATTACTACCTCAGCAATAAGCCAACAAACACTTGAATAAGCCAACAAACAAGAAAAGAGGTGAAAGAATATTTCTTAAATATTGAAGGAACCATGGCTAAAAAAGGTGATGGGCCTCAGTGTTTTTGCAGATGAATTCTTTAATATTTCAGTTTTGAAAAAATCATTTCCTAAGCCCCAATACTGGAACCAACACGAAGGCAACAGATTGCACCACATTATAGGAGCACACCAGTTTGTGGGGTCATATATTTTGGAAACAGTGCTCACGTAACCATCCCCATTTCACAAGATCAAGCAAACACGGAGGTACAGTCTCAGGCAGGAGATTTGGAAAGAGGTGTGTTGACTCTCAGCCAGGAGGAATGCAGGTTTAGTTCACTTGTTGCTGAATTGGGCTAACCAGGCCTCATTCCCAACAGTCATCTGGCAGGGCCAGCTCACCTGACAGCTCCAGATCTTGTCAAAAGAGATGGGAAACCACCAAATCTGATTTAAATGGCAGGTTCCAGAGACAGTTCCCAAGCTCCAAAGAAGATGCGGAAAACAGCCTTCTCCCAGCTCTTAGTGTGGGGGTCAATGTTTCTTTCTTTTGACTGGAACCCATGCTACAATATGGTGCTTTCCAAACTTTTTCACAACACAGCTCACAGAAAATGGAAATATTTATACATCACACTGGAGTGAAGACTCAGGACTGTTGAAATGGGAACTCACTACCCAGGGGCTCCAGCCACCTAGTCCCCTTAAGGCTGAAAGGGGTCAGTATCTGTTCTTGGAAGCAGTCCCCCCAAACCCAACAAGCAGTGGAAAGCATTTTTAAAGAAATTACCCCAAAATAAATAAGCCATGGGATGTCATGTACAGCAGGGTAACTATAGTTAATAATACTGTATTGCATATCTGAAAGTTGCTAAGAGAGGAAATCTTCAAAGTTTTCATCATAAGAAAAAAAAATGTAACTATGTATGGTGAGGGATGTTAATTGAACTTTTGTGGAGACCGTTTCAAAATATATACAACTATTGAGTCACTGAAACATCAATGAGAGAGACATCAATCAGCTGCCTCCTGCACACTCCCTACTGGGGATCAAGCCAGCAATTCAGGCATATGCCCTGACTGGGAATTGAACTGGGACCTCTCAGTCCATGGGACAACGTTCAACCTACTGAGCCACCCTGGCCAAGCCAAGTTAAACTTTTTAAACAAAGACCTAATAATACAAGGGTGGGCAAAAAGTAGATTTACAGTTGTATGTGAAAGTTTATCCTTATATTATTGTTTACTTATTTATTATTGCATTATTTGTTGTCATTATTGTTTTGGGGTTTTTTTTTCTATCCGAGGACATTTTTCCATTTTTTTGTTCAGATAGAGTGGGAGGGAGAGAGAAACATCGATGTGAAAGGGACACATCGAGTGGCTACCACCCGCACGACCAACCAGGGCCTGGGACAAACTGCAACCGAGGAACGGGCCCTTAGCGGGAACCAAACCCAGTCTCTCTGGACTGCAGGCCGATGCTCTAACCGCTGAGCCATACTGGCCAGGGCTCTTTCTGAGTTTTTAACTGCAGTTTCAAGAGACTGTACAATATCACAGAAAACAAGTTTTCCTGGCTCTGCCCTGGACAAGATAATATGGAGTAGGGATACCAGCATGAGCAGGAAGGTGGCTAGGAAGAGGAACAGGGATACGGAATCAGCTTTCTGCTTCTGTACCTGAGGCTGAGGTAGATTCAATATATGAGGTAAGAAAGACCACATGGTAATTGCCAGAAACATTAGCAAGCTGTGCTCTAAAACAACATTTTTACCTCATTAGGTCAGCCCTGTTACTTTGGGCTGGAGAAGTCAGGATAGCACCGCAGGTAGAGGAAGTTATGTGACAGTCTCCCAAAAGGAAATCTTGGAAAGAGAAAAAGTTCATTCAGATTAAAAAAAAAAAAAAAAGATCTTTATGAAGAAAAACCAGTCATATTCCTTTCTTACTACATCTAAAATCACCCACTGAGCCATCTAACTCCAGCTAAGGGCAGAGGGCTAGGAGTGTTGGGAAAGCCAGTGAATTGCATGGTCTCTTGACCTTCCCTCAGCTGCATAAAAATGAGCCTTGGTACCCTGGCCGGTTTGCTCAGTGGTTAGAGCGTTGGCCCGCAGATCAGAGAGACCCAGGTTTGGTTCCCACTAAGGGCACATACCTCGGTTACAGTTTTACCCAGCCCCGGATGGGGTTGTGTGGGTGGCAACCACTCGACGTGTCTCTCCCACATCAATGTTTCTCTCTCTCCCTTCCACCCTATTTGAAGAGAAATACAAAAATGTCCTTGGGTGAGAATGGAAAAAAAAAATGAGCCTTGGGCCTGAAACACTTTATCAAAAGGTAGAGTACTCATAGCCTGTAGTAGACTAGACACCTTGTGTGGAAATCTTTCCGTTTCAGACTCAATGTGTGTCCTTTGCTCTTCTGCTTAAGCATGTGTATCATACGGCACCTGGCCAACCCCAAGACTGTGTCTGTCCCCTGTGGAGCAGAGATGAGGTCCTTCTACTGAAGCAAGAGGGCTACATGCAGGTCTTGTGTTGGGCAGGGAGGGGACCTGCCAGCCATGGGGGAACGAATGCACACTACTAGAGTTGATCTTGCTCTGCCTCTTCTCTATGTGAGTAAAGCGTTGTTTCATTTAATGTTTCTCTGTGTTATGGTTTCCCTGGAGACTACATTGCCAAGATGCAGTGGGCAGAAGTGTTCAGATATCTGCTTTTGGTGACAGGCAACAGATATCACTTGCTTGACAATGAGTCAGGTTCTGCTCTTGGCTGTGGCACTAGCTATGCGAATCTGTTTCTCAGTTTTGTCACCAGCGAAACTGTGGTGTTCACTGAGGTCTCTTCCAGCTAAATAATATTCCATTTTCTGTAAGAATAAAAGAATATTATGCTCAAGGCCAGCAGTCAGTAAGAACTTTTATAGATTCAGAAGCCAGATGAAATGCTAAGTTTCCATGGGTCTCAAAATTTACATATTGTAATCATTTTCTGAAGAAAATAGATTTTAGCATAGCCAGTGTGACTCAATGGACTGAGCATCGTCCCAGGGACTGAGAGGTCCCGGTTCAATTCCTGGTCGGGGCACATGTCTGGGTTGCGAGCTCAACCCCCAGTGGGGGGGGGGGGGAGTGCAGAAAGCAGCCAATCAATGTTGTTCTCCCACATCGATGTTTCTATCTCTCTCTTCCTCTCTCTCTAAAAGTCAATAAAATAGATTTTATTCTAAATCAGTTTATCAACCTTAGCCAGATAATTCCTGGCTGTGGGCGGTTGTCCAATGTATTGTGGGATATTCAATTGCATCCCTGTCCTCTTCCCACTAGATAGTAATAGCATCTCACTCTCAGTTGTGACAACCAACAATGTTTTCAAACATTGCCAACCGTCTACTGACGAGCAAAAGTGTCCTGGGATTGAGAAACACTGATCTACATATATTCCTCTAATCAGGTTTAAATAATACACATAAACTTAATTCATCAATACGTGCATTTTATGTAGAAAATGTAACACATTGTTTGAAAAATGAAACGTTTTATGATGCATAATACAAAGATCTTAAATACAATTGGTGTCTTAACCATTTTCCATCTTTAATCAATAAATATTATTCCCCTTAAAAGGTGAAAAATTACCCATATTAAAAATAACCTCTTTATTTCATTAACTAGCCTCCAGAGTAAAAATAGTTACGGCTTTTGAAATGGCTTCATATTTCTTTAAAATATTAACTAAGACAAATTTCCAATTTGGTAAACCTATTATATAATACCATTTGATTTTAATCATCAAGGTAAAGACATAACAAAAAAATAATGACATTGTCACTAAAAGGTTGTCTAAGTCTGTTGTTCATCATGTAATCAGACACCCTTAAATTAACTCGAGCAGAAAGTCTAAGGAATTCATGGATCAATCTCCTCAGCACATCAAGGAAAGTGCTAATACACTTAAGTGCTAATACACTTAAATAAACAGAACAGCTTATTTAAACTTTTGATAATAAAACAATACAGAAGTGAAAAACCTTGTTAAATTCTTCTCATTTCAATAACATTTATACTGCATAAAAATGAGCCTTCTGTGACACTGTAAGTTTTAAATAAAATAAGCAAGAGAGCACCATAATACTCTTGAAATATAAAAGACTGTACAATAACTTTTACAGGCACAAAGTTCCTTAAGTTCCAAGCAAGTCTAGTTGTCCCTAATTATTTATTAGGACAACTTCAAGCAATACACTACAAATGGCTCTTACTTACTACATAGGTCTTAGGATAAACATGTTTATATTCTGACTGAACAGTCACGTGGATACTATAAACATGGCTACTGTGTATAACTACTCGGTGAAATTTCTTGCCTTCCTTCATGATTTCTTCAGTCTTTTTTTCAGTGGACAAAAGATTTTCTAAGAAGTTTGAATCTTCTAAGTACAGCTCATCTCCTGAAAAATAGTATTTTAATTCCACAAAGTGTTATTTTATAAAACAGACCAATATATTAGTGACATATAAATCAGTTTTTAAAAATTGATTTCATGTGCTTCAAACTGAGATAACCCTAATTTTATGAGCTTACTTCAACTTCGTGTGTGTGTGTGTGTGTGTGTGTGTGTGTGTTTAATACCTATACTCCCTAGCTTTCCATTTCCCAGCAAAGAATTTTCCTTGGGCATATAAATATTTATGACTGGCATTATTTTCATCATAAACTATAACTTTTATATAGTTCATGACTCTCTTTATCCTAGTCAATATTAATATTGGCCTTGCCCATATATTTTTGGTATTTCAGTGTGGACTGCTTTAATAATTTTAAGATTAAGTTAGATAAATTATCATTTATACATCAAAATTGCTAAGTTTTCCCACTGTAGGATAAGTAACAAATATTACCACTCTCGTGAGAACTGAGACAGGTAGCCATAAGGAAGACAGGTCACAAAGCCTCACGCTAAACTGCCACAAGACCTCTATCCTATACATGCCCAACAATAACAGACCACCAACAAACTCCCTAATTAAAAAACCTGACAATTTACAAGTTCTTATAATTCAAAATTAAAATATAAAAAGTGAGATAATATGAAAGAACTTTGTCCATGTCTAGGAAATAAACATAAATGTGTACGTGTGTATATAAAGTAACTTATTCAGAACTTGTGGTTATAATACTATGGATATTTTACAGACTTTGAACTTATTTAATTAATGCCATTGTAGTGTGTAAAACAGACTACAAACTGTGTCTTTGTGTGGGGCAATGCTGCCATAAAGCCCAGTGAATTAAATGTGAATACTAACAAAAGCATTGATGCCTCATTGATTTACCTGGTAAAAGCGAGATCTGCCCATCCGCAGTTAATAACGTGATTGGCAACCATCTTTCCACCCCTTCTAATACATGATCCAAACAAAATTTGTGCAAGTCGGAGAGAGAGGCAAAGTTTGCAAGTCTTCTTATTTCATAGAACTGTGGGGGTGCCAACCAAATTTCTTTTGATATGAAATTATCAGTTGCCTCTAACGGAGATGACCACTGTGGAAGACAAAGGTAGGGTTTACTAAGGTTTACTCCATAGATAATACAAGATTTGAGATCATCAGATCAGTACCTGAGATCTAACTGAAGATATAAAGATAATTCATTAATATGCTTTGCTAAATTCCTCTGAGGCAACACGAAAAGCTTCAGTAAAGAAAGCTGAGTTGATCCTCAGAAGGTAAAGTAGTTCTGGTTATTCCAACAGGAACCAAGACTCTGAAGTATAAACTCATGGCAGCAGATTGATAATTTAGTGCCTATTTGTTCCTCCCATAGATGCCTTGCCTAGGCCCTGAGGACGTGGTAATAGACAAGACAAAGCTCTCTCAAGCCCTGGGGGGCCTTCAGCAACCAAAATACAGCATGATGTGTACCACATGTTATAATGGGGGTAAAGAGTCAGAGAACCCGGCTGGTGTGGCTAAGTGGTTGAGCATCACCCATGTACCAAGAGGTCACTGGTTCGATTCCCAGTTGTGGGCCCGATCCCCAGTGGGGGGCATGCAGGAGGCAGCCAATCGATATTCCCTCTCATCGATGTTTCTATCTTTCTTTTCCTCTCCCTTCCTTTCTCTCTAAAATAATAAAGAAAAAAAAATTAAAAGAAAAAAGTCAGAGCAGTAGGAGTTTTAAGGTCAAGAGGCATAATTCAGTCTATAGTCCCAGGAATGTAATAATAGCAGGGCATCAACCAGCCAGTGTTTGCCCATTTAACTTAAGTGGCCTAAGTGCTGTGATGTACCTCCTTCCCGAGCCTTCCTTCCACACATATACGGGTAAAAATAGCTGATTCAATGAATATGGAATAACTCCAAAAGGTCTTTGTTTAACTGGTTTACTATATATCCACTTATACTGGGGAAAACCAATTCCCATGCCCAAACCCAAGGCGTTGAAATTGACTTCTGCCTTGGATGTCTGGCACGTATGGCTCAGTGGATTGAGTGTCCTCCCATGCACTGAGATCCCGGTTCAATTCCCGGTCAGGGCACATGCCTGGGTTGCAGCCTCAATCCCCAGTAGGTGGCCTGCAGGAGGCAGTCAATTGACATTTCTCTCTCACAAGGATGTTTCTTTTTCTCTCTCTAAAAAGTCAATAAAAAACATATTTTTTAAAACATTGATTTCTGCCTTGGATAACTAGAGGCCAAAGGTATATAAGTTAGTATGTGCTTAAACACCCCCTAATAAACCTGTTAAATCTTCAGTCTATAGGGCCCAGAAATCTGCTTAACAAGCATCCCAGATTATTCTGAAGTTGGCTGCATTTTGTAAACAAAACTTGGGTGTCAAAGAACCATCCAATCTTTAAGTTATTTACAAAGATTCTGCTTTGCCAGTTTGAGTTCAGTGACAATAATCAAGATGAAGGGTTAAACAATAGGCATCAGCCCACTTAATTCAATCTGTTCAGGTTAGTCCAGACCCATAGGTTAAAAGAACTTATTCTTTATAGGTTACTTGTTACTAGTAAAGCACTACTCAAATTTTACTTTATGTAAGATATTTCCAGTCCTTAGGTCAACTCTGCATACTGTCGTTTTACAGATGAAGAAACTGAAGCAGCTACCCTATTTAAAAAATCTGGGCAGGGTTGGGGGGATGGGCTGGATCTAAATTTCATTCTGTTTCCACTAGGTTTCAGAATCTTGGCACTAATGACACTTTAGACCAGATAATTCTTTATTTTGAGAGGTTGTCCTGTGCACTAAAGGATACCTGGGCTCTGCCCAGTAGAAGCCAGCAGAAGTCCCTGAGTTGTGGCAACCAAAAATGTCTCCAGACATTGCCAAATGTGCATGGGGGTGGAGTGGGCGAATCCCCTACTGAGAACCACTAGACTAGACCAGGTTAAGAATTATTTATGGAACATCCTCTTCTAGCCATGAGTGCTATATTCCCTTTCCCCAACATAATGTAAAAAATAGGTAAGTGGACAAAATCTACAAACCACTATTTTGAACACAGAAAGATGCAGAATTATAATATGTGAGAAAAGAAAAACAAATGAGGTGAACTCAGTAGAGTTCCAAGAGTTGCCAAGTCTTCTTTCCTAAAGGTAATCCCCAGACTGCACTGTGAGGGAGAACCTCATTAGAGTGTGGATTCTCACTGACTTGAGACAAAGGCCAGAGTTTGGAAAGACCATACAGGCAAGAATTTAAAAACAATGTACTCGAGTCCAATCGGTGTGGCTCAGTGGTTGAGCATCGACCAATGTACCAAGAGGGCACCAGTTCGATTCCTGGTCAGGACACATGCTCGGGTTGTGGGCCAGATCTCCAGTGGGGGCATGTAGGAGGCAGCCAATCGATGTTTCTCTCTCTCTCTCTAAAACAAAGGGGAAAAGAAAAAAGAAAAACAATGTACTGGAGAGGGGGGATCTACACAAGGTAGACCTCCAGAAATATGTATGGGGTGCCCTTGAGTCTTCACTAAACACTAATCTACATATGCATAAAGTGAAACCCACATGACACTGGAAAAACAATGATTCCTAAGAACAGTTACCTGAGAGCTTTAAGACTAACAATTCCGCCCTGGCCGGTTTGGATCAGCGGTTAGAGCGTCCGCCTGCGGTCCGGAGGGGCCCGGGTTCGGTTCCCGCTAAGGGCATGTACCTTGGTTGCAGTTTGTTCCCGGCCCTGGTTGGTCGTGCGGGTGGCAGCCACTCGATGTGTCCCTTTCACATCGATGTTTCCCTCTCTCTCTCTCTTCCTCTCTCTCCCTCCCACTCTGTACAAAAAATGGAAAAATGTCCTCGGATGAGGATTAAAAAAAAAAGACTAACAATTCCAGGGCTCACCTAAAGCCAGGAATATTTCAAATTCCCTCAATGGAGAGACCTCAAAAGGGTTATACATTAAAAGTGCAGCTATTAGCCCTGGCCGGTTTGGCTCAGTGGTTAGAGCAGCGGCCTGCGGTCCAGAGAGACCCGGGTTCGGTTTCCACTAAGGGCACGAATCTCGGTTGCAGTTTGTCCCCGGCCCTGGTTGGGTCATGTGGGTGGCAGCCACTCGATGTGTACCTTTCATGTCGATGTTTCTCTCTCTCTCTCCCTCCCATTCTATGTGAACAAAAACTGAAAAAATGTCCTCGGGTGAGGATAAAAAAATAAAAAATAAAAGTGCAGCTATTAGCCCTAGAATAAACACTATCATAAACCTACCCTAGAACCACTTAAAAAACAAACTTCAAAAGGATCATGTTAGTTTGCAATAGCTTAAATTCCTGCCAGGAAAATTCCAACAATCCTTAAAGGAATGTGACAATGCCCTGGCATGCATGGCTCAGTTGGCTGAGCATATAATCCCATGCACCAAAAGGCCACCAGTTTGATTCCAGGTCAGGTTTCCAGCACGATCCCCAGGAGGAGGCATGCAGGAGGTGGCCAATTGTTGTTTCTCTCTCATATGGATGTGTATCTCTCTCCTCCTCCCTGTCTAAAATCAATAAAAACTTACTATTTTTTAAAGGGTATATGACAAAATCCAGTACGCAACTAAAAATCACAACATCCAACATCCAATAAAAAACTGGAAGACACCCTTGGCTGGTGTGGCTCAGCAGGTGAGCAATGACCCAAGCACCAAGAGGTCGCTGGTTCGATTCCCACTCGGTAAATGCCCAGGTAGTGGGCCCGATCCTCAGTGGGGGCAGCCAAATGATGTTCTCTCTCATGGATGCTTCTATCTCTCCCATCCTCTGTCTCTAAAAATCAATAAAGAAAAGAGAGAGAAACAATCGATGTGAGTAACACATCGATGGGTTGCCTCCCGCAGGACCCCGACCAGGGCCGGAGATCAAACCTACAACCCAGGTACATGCCCTTCACGGGTAATCTATCCTGAGTCGGATGCTCTAATGGCTGAACCAAAACTGCCAGGGCTGAATTTTAAAATATTTAAATCATGTAAAGTATGCTCCCTGAGGAAACAGAATTAAACTGTTGTGGAGGTGAAATGGCTTGATGTATGCAAAGTGCTTGATGTATGCAAAGTGCTTAGGAGGGAGCCTGGGGCCTAAAAGGCGGTCTGCCCCGCTCCTGGGGTCTCCACACTGGCTCTGCCCCGGCAGCCGCGTGCGGAGACCGAGCTGAGGCCTCGGGACTGCGACGCCGGGGAAAACACCGGTTTGGGCCTGCAGGGCTGGGGGGTCGGACCGCTGGGGTCCCAAGCCCGCTCAGTCACTTACTGGCCTGCACGGCCCTTACGCGGCCGGGGTCCCGTGAGCAGGCCCTACCTGGTAGCCCACCACCTCGGCCAAGTCTGGGTAGACCGGCGGCGGCTCCCGCAGGCAGCACAGGAAGAAGGTCGTGTCGAAGCGGCGGCCGCCGGGGCGCCTGAACGGCGTGAGCCAGGTGCTCCAGTCGTGCAGCGCCCAGATGTCAGGGGTGCAGTCGAGGTGCTCACACAGGTGCAGGAAGTGGTGCGGGTCGCGGCGCACGCGGTCGCGCCAGGCGGCCAGGCCCTCCTGCTGCGGGAGGGCGCGGCCCGGCTCCCGCGCGGCGGCCCGCGAGGCCCGGGGCCGCAGCAGCAGCACGCCCGCCTCCTCGAAGGTCTCGCGGATGGCGCAGATGCGGAAGGCCACGTCATCCGGCAGCGCCGCACCGTCCTCCGCGGCGGTGTCGGACACCGCGGCGGGCAGCACCGGGAAGGTGGGACGCGGGCGTGGCGTGGGGCCCAGGCCCAAGCGCGGCGGCCTGTGGTGCGGCGCGAAGAGGCGCAGCCAGTCTGCCGAGCGGTCTGCCGCGTCCACCACGCCGCCTGGGAAGACGTGCGCCCCGGGCAAGAAGCCCTGCTGTGAGGAGCGCTGCAGCAGCAGCAGCCGGAAGCCCTCGGCTGGCAGCGGGGCCACCGACGGGGCGGCGGGGCTTGGGTGCATCCAGCCTGTCGCCAGCACCAAGGTGGCCGCCCGCCGCCAGCTGCTTGAGCCCGACTGCAGGAAGCCGTTCATGGTTCCGGCTCCGGGTCCTGGCGCGGCAGGCGCTCCAACGCACCAACCCTACGACCCCCCAGCGGTCTCCCTGGGCGAGGCCCGAGGCCTGGGTCTCTTAGGTCGAACCGGGCGCTCTGTCAGCCGGGGCTGGCGGACTTTCCCAGGTGGCTTCCTGTATGAGGGGCGTGGTGCCGGCGTGATGGGGCGTGAGCAAGCTCCGCCTCCAGGGCCCTGTTCCCAGGCTGGTCACTCAGTGGGCAAGGGCTGTCACAACCGCCTTAAAGGAGAACCGCACAATCCTCACTCAGGACACTGGACCAAGAGCAGGAATGCTTATGGGAGCAAGTGACCTGCTGGGGTGAGAGTGTGATGCAAATCCAGGCTGGTGATGTTACTGGAAAGGGGACCTGGCCCTGAGCGGGTCTGCCTGTGGACAGCCGGCCAGGCGGTAGTGTGTGGGTTCTTGGCTTCCTGCAGGAAAAATTTCAGGAGTCCAGGTGAATTTTAGAGGACGTTCATTAAAGCTGGGTACAATGGCCCTGTCCGGTTTTGCTCAGCCTAGAGTGTGGGCTGGGCGTCCAAAGAGTTCCCTGTTGGTTCCCGTCAAGGGCACGCACCTTGGTTGCAGTTTGTCCCCAGCCCTGGTCAGGGTGGTGCAGCAGGCAACCAATCCTTGTGTCTCTCCCCACATAGCTGTTTCTCTCTCTCTCTCTCTCTCTCTCTCTCTCTCTCTCTCTCTCTCCCCCTCCCTCCCTCCCTCCTTCCCACTCTATCTGAAAATAAATGGAAAGATATTCTCTGGTGAGGATTAAATAAAAAAAAAGCTGGGTCCAATGGAACAAGGAAGGGCTGGGGAAATGAGCCTAAGCTGGGCTGCTTTGGCTCACTAAAAAAATCAGAGAAAAGGGGACCTTGGAGAGAAATTCTGGGTCTCAGCCCTGGAGGACCTACCACTGCCCATTGCTGCTCTGGTTGCAAACCTCCTAGAGTCCCTTGGAATTTAGGAGATGCATACCTATGAGGAAAGGGAGAGCTGCCCTGGACCTTCATTTTGAGGGCTGGGCACTTAGGGAAGGGACTCAATAGACTATTCATCAGCTTTATGCGAATATACCAAAATTAGAGTTATTCTGTTTTTTTATTAATCCTCATCTGAGGATATTTTTTTCCTTTTTTTTTTTAAGAGAACAAAGGGAGAGAGGAGGTGAGAGAGAGAAACATGGATGTGAGAGAGACACATCGATGGTTGCCCCTCCCGCACACACCCCTACCAGGCTGGGGATCCAACCAGCAAGGTACGTGCCCTTGGACCAGGAATCAAACCCATGACCCTTTGATCCGAGGGCCAACGCTGTAACCACAGAGCCACATCGGCTAGGGAAAGAGTATTCTCTTCATCTGTCCTTGGGTGTGGTTGGCAAATGACACTAATTGGATTTCTGCTATCTGTGTCCCTGAGTAGGGTGATTTAAGCTATTTACCCTCTGGTTGGGGAGGAACAGTGCAAACCATTTACTCTTTTTTTGTGTGTGTGGTACATGCCCCTGGCGGGAACCGAATCCAGGACTCTCTGGTCCGCAGGCTGACGCTCACCCGCTGAGCCAAACTGGCCAGGGCACCATTTACTCTTAAGTATCCCTGGTTTAGGGAAGATAGGATTCACTGGATGGCTGTAAACTGCAATTTATCTGTCTCTGTTTCCCTATTCTGCTTGTCTTGGCTTACTAGCCTGTCTCAGCGACACTTTCCTGACCAAAGCCTGAGAACTGGGACTTTTTCCCTTAAACCCTGGGTTGACACAAGGGTGTCTCCTTTTCTTGGCAGTGGGGGGAGGAGAGTAGAGGGGGGTTCCTAGGGGCAGGTATCTGCGCTTTGCAGGTTCACATGAACCCCACCAATGAGAAACTGATGGATGAACCAGCTGCAATATCATAAATTTTCCACTGCACAGCCTGAGTGTGAAAGATTACCTCCTCAGGGTTATCTGCCTTGTGTCGTGGACACACTGTCAGTGCTCCTGGAATCACCTTAAGCATCTTAGGTAATTTGAATATTTCTACTTTCATGAGAGATGTTTAATCCAGGCCTAGAGATGGGAATTTCTGCTTCACATTTTTAGTGGCTACAACACTCTCAACTCCAAGAGAAACATTACTCTCTCCTGGATGCCCCCCTACTGGAGATCAAGCCCACAACCTGGGCATGTGCCCTGACCAGGAATTGAATTGGGACTCTCAGTCCATGAGAGGATGCTCAATCCACTGAGCCACACCAGCTGGGCTAGAACCTGTAATTTTTTTTTTAACAGTCCCCTACTCCCAAGGGGTTCCAGCGCTATGAATCATAGGAAGCTATAAAAGGTCACAGTGACATGATCAAATTCATCCTTCAAAGGTCATCCTGGCAGCAGTGTGTTGACTCAATTAAATGGGGCTCAACTGCGGGCCCATGGAATGTGCTAGACAAGAAATAATGAGGTCCTGAACTAGGAGAGGAGGTGAGGTGGGAATAAGGGAATGATTTAAAGAGTATTTAGGAGACAGGCTTGCTGTAATGTAGTAACTGGTTGAACATGCAGAGCAAGGGAGAGGAAGGAGTTAAGGTTCTAGCTTGGGAGACTGAAGTAACTGTCCTTCAATCCTAGGAGTAATAATACTAATATTTACTGTGTGTGAGGCACTAAGAACTTTGTAAGGATTAGCCGTATAATCCTCAAAAACCCTGTAAGGTGGAAATAGCTACTGCCATTTCACTGATGAGAAGTCATTCACAGAGGGGTTAAGTATCTTTAAAAAAGGATACACTCTTCACTGTAAAAATAATACCATGGTTCTGTAGGTATATATGTTTATTTCTAAGTCAGGTAGTTTTCTCAAAGGGGGTCACTCCTGAGTGAGATGGACAAGTCCTGGAGTACATAGCAAACTGATGCACTTCGATTAGATCTTAACCAGTGCAGGACAGTCTCCAGAACTGCACACTGCCATGTGGGACTTGGGTGGCTCTATGATGATGCAATCCCACTTTATGTATGTATCCAGAGATCACATACTGAGAACCTGTTATCTGAACTGTGGCCAAGAACCAGAACAGATGCAAAGAATGGAGCCTGCGCAGCAAAAGAAATACAAATATATTCAAATCTAATAAGCTCTACTCACAGGGAAAACTGGTTTATAAATACATTACTTGTCTATTGCTGTTAAATTCTTCTAAAACTTGGTGGCTTAAAACTACTATAAATATTGCCCTGGCTGGTTTGGCTCAGCAGTTAGAGCATCAGCCCGAGGACCAAAGGGTCACGGGTTTGATTCCTGGTCAAGGGCACGTACCTGGGTTGTGGATTCCTGGTTAAGGGCATGTATCTGGGTTGCAGGTACGATCCTCAGCCCTATTCGGGAGGCAACCAATTGATGTGTCTCTCACATCGATCTTTCTCTCTCTTTCTCTCCCTCCCTCTCTTCTACTGTATCTAAAAATCAATGAAAAAATATCCTCAGGTGAGGATTAACAAAATAATAATATTAAATATTTACTATCTCACAGTTTCTCAAAATCAGGAATTCAAGAGCATCTTAGCTGAGTGGTTCTGACTTGGTATCTCCCATGAGACTGTGGTCAGCAAGTCAGCTGGGACTTGACTGGGAACTGAAGAGTCATTTCTACAATGCCTCAATCACATGGCTATCAATTTGACATACTTTCTGTCCATATTTATACTTTTATTATGACAAACATACCAGAAATCTAAGACATAAAAAACTGGAAGCCCTGGCTGGTTTGGCTCAGGGGTTAGAGCGCAGGCCATGGACCAATGAATTGTGGGTTCAATTCCGGTTCTGGTCGGGTCGTGAGGGAGGCAACCAGTCTACGTGGCTCTCACATCGATGTTTCTGTCTCTCTCCCACCCTCCCACTCTATCTGATGATAAATAGCAAAAAAAAGTATCCTCAGGTGAGAAATAAAAAATAACTGGCCCTGGTCAGTTTGGCTCAGAGGTTGAGCATCAGCCTGTGGACCAGAGAGTCCCGGGTTCAGTTCCCGCTAGGGGCAGGTAGCACAAAAATAAATGAATGAATGAATGAATGAATGAATGAATGAATGGAAAATTTATCTGCAATGCCTGTCACAAAGGATTAAGTATTAGAAAAAATGGAAAAGGGCAAACCTCCAACAGTGTAGAAAAACGGGACAGAAATCGGATAAGTAGTTGCCAGAACCTGGGGTGGGAGAAAACTTTTTGGGGGTGATGGAAACATTCCATATCTTGACTAGGGTGGTGGTTACATGATAGTATACATTTCTCAAAACTCAAAACTCCACACCTAAGAATGGTGAATGTTGGTGTATTTAAATTATACTTTAATAAGTTTGACTTCATAAATGTATGGATTTCAACCTCTACATCAACCTGAATTTCCCTCTGTAGCTTTGACCTTTTTGTTACATACCTTCTCTCGTTTGACAAGTTTATCTAGTTTTAATCTTCAAATTGACTTTTAGCAGACTTCACCTATGTTATAGAAAGTAAAATGTTTTAATATATATTGTTTTGGCAAACATCCCATTTTTCAGACTCCTAAAGTAGCATGATAACAGCGGTGGCAGCCAACATTTATTGAGCCCTGTGCCTGGAAAAAGCCATCTCCACATTCCTATGAAGACTACCCTGTTATTACTACCACTGGAAAGGCAATTGAGCCCTGGCTAGTGTGACTCGGTTGGTTGGGCATCGTCCTGTGCACTGAACGGTTGCTGGTTCGGTTCCTGGTCAGGACACCCAAAAAAAAAAAAAGGGCAACTGAGGTCAGAGAGATTTTAGAACTTCTTTAAGGAGATCAGATCAGGTATACCTTACTCCACAGGTAGTGCTCTTAACCTCTGTGCTCTTCTGTCTTGATACCATATTTCAAAGAATGCTTCTGATTCTCTGGGGTAAGATTCCAGAAGTGTTTTGCCTTGCTTTTGGGAAGAAGGTTCTGAAATTGTTTCACATAGAGACCCTAACTGTAAAAATATATTTTTTATTGATTTTTTTAGAGAAAGAG